TAGGCTGAGAAACGCTGGAATAAAAAGCAACAGTACTCAAATTTTTCAAGTTTTTATTTTTTTAACAAGTAGGAGTTAAAGGATTGGAAAATATGTTCAAGGACCTGTTTTACAAACCTCAGGCCTACAGAACAATAGGTCTGTACCTTTTTATGAAGTGAAAGATCATATTCGCTATATAATTATGAATGGATTTTAAGTAACTTGGGTATATTTAGCAAGATCTGCTAGCACTCTGTTCTGAACGCTTGTTAATTTTATTAGATATTAAGTGTTCTTTACACGGTAGTTTAAAAAAAATGACTCGAATAACCTAAGAGTAGATTTAAAGAAATTAACATCTCCCTTTTTTCTTTGCTTGTGTTGTTTACCTGGTATACTTTCCAAAGTGTCGGCGTGTAAGGAGTTGACGTTTAGGGAAGCATCAGTTGCCATCCCATCTTTTCAAGAGAAATTTGCAGGAATGATTTTCTTTCATTTTGATGATGACACGGAGTCATAAAATTACACTTAAGATTAGTGTAAACTTAATTTTCTGAGATGGCTGTCTGCTGGTCTTTAGGTTAACAGCAACAGTGATTACCTCCCATCTAGACGCCATCGCTGATTCCAATTTGCAACAAAGCCATCTTTGCAAAATCAATGAAGTCTGTGGCAAAACTTTTCTGTTGCTATCGTTCGGATCTTTGCTTTATCACACTAATTATTTGGAGGATTCTGGGAGGCAAAATATAAGCACTTTCCTGTTTCACGGGAAATCCCCAAAGTTAAAGGGGTCATGAATGATAAACTTGTCATTGAGTGAAAACGGAGCCCTCCTATCGTCGACATTCCCAGGTATATGTCTGTGTCATGAAGCCAATTTTCCCACTTCCTTACAGTAAGACTGGAAAGCAGAGCTGGGAGCATGGCCGTCACCACATTTGCCTAGGGATTCATTTGCTCCATGTTGCCCATGGAAACTATTATTTGGATGGAGACTATTTTTGGTTTGGGGGTGGATTTCTGCCCACTGCAGCATGGCTGTACAAAGTGAGTGTCCAAACTGGCCAACCAAGGGTTGAGCACGCCAACTCTTGGTACTCTGAGTTCACAGACTGGTCTGTGGGGTTTACCAATCACGGGTAGTCATTATCCTGCGAGTTATTTATCTCCACAAGTAGCAGCATCTACGTCCATTCATTCATGGATTGGTTCTGCTCAGAGTGCGAGGTACAAGCACCTAGTGATGTATTTGTATATTTTATTAGCAGACACTGTAGTTGAGCTTAGTTAACCTTGTCAAGTTACAGCCTCCCCCCCCCCAAAAAAAAAACACAAACCAACTCTGTTACTTGGAACACAGAAAGAATGTATATATAGGTCTGACGAGGTGATGTGGTGATATTTAATTCTGTTAAAAAACAGCACTGTAATCAAGAGATTTTGTAAAACTTTTTTTTAAGGAGATCACCACTCTCTCTCTTCAGTGTTTAATCAATTATGGTCCTGAACTTTGATGAATTCAATTTTGAGAATATAGTTTGTCAGGTGTCATTTTGAGGCAAGAAAACCACTGCTCAAAAAGAAAACAAATCTAACATTTGCTTAATAATATGTCCTTTGCGCCAACAAACCCTTATCTGACCGTCACCTTCATTCGGCTGCTGACATGGCTATTGCTTGCATTTTAAAAGCTCCTTTTGCCCTTTTTGTGTCTTTTGAGAATTCAAGTGGGCCTCCTTATCCCTATAACGCCTGAATTTTTAATTTCAGGGAAAAAAATTTTTGTTTTTATTCTTTACTTCCGTAGTTATCTATCTATATAGATTTTACTATAAACATTTTAATGTTACGAAATGTCACGCTCGGCGTTATAGGATTAAAATGATTCATGTCTCAAAGTGCACAAGATGTCCTGACATGATACAGCGACCTGTTGAAAAGAGGGGAAATTAAGGCTAACTACTACTGGTGCTCACACATTGACGTGGTTCTGGAGAAAGACCTATTTTAACTCTCTTGTCTCCCATGTTTTTAGTCCTTCCCACCAGGTTTACGTAATGACTTGTCTGACAGGATGAGAAATGCTTGCTTTTGTCTTTACATGAGCAATCTGTCATAAACATCGAGGGGCACTATAGCCATAGGTCTTGTTGGAAGATCATCCGTTTGAAGATGAGTGGCTGACTACTTGATGTAGCTAGTTTCAGAGCTCTTCCTTGTATTTCTTTACATCAGACTTTGGTTCTAAATATGAGGACATCTCTTTTTTCACGACTTACCAGAGTTTGTGAAGTTCAGGGGTTTTACTTTGGCTAATTTTGGTTTCCAATCAGGCATGCACAAAAATGGCCACTAACATGGAA